ATTCTCACAGAATTTAGTATTGTTGAAATTATCGCTAAGATTTGGGATGGGGAATTTTGCAAACTGTACGTTTCGTTCAATTTCGCAAACCAATCGATGAAATTTGAATAAACTGATTTGTTTTGAAAAAATACTTTGACAAAACCCCCACTTCACAGTTTTTATGCACCCGAGTAAAACCAACTGCACGTTGTACCCCCCCTTACCTATTTGCACATCCCCCCAAAATTTGGATGCGATCGGTCAGTGTATGGCTATTTTAGAGGATGTGACAGACGGACAAACTAACGGAAGTCACAGAATTTTATCTATAGATTTAAATTAAGTTTGCTCAATTATTAAAATAATCATTGATAAATTAGCATTTTGACAAAATAATATTCGGCTGAAATATTTGTCAAACTTGATCAACTGCTTATTGAAACATTTTTAACTGTATTTTTTCTAATAACGTTTTCAGCAACAATTACTTCATAACTGATTTAATTATCCAATTTCTATTGATGAGCATGTTGTTTTAACACAGCAAAAACGGCGCATCGTAGCGAAACTTTAGTTAGGACAATACTTTTAATATTCTTTAAGTTGAGGAATAAAGTAATTCCCAATTCAATTTACGACTTAATAATAATAACGTGAAGTGTATGTTCGAGCTCACCCCGATATTACTAATCCAAATTTTTCATTTTTTTTTACGCATGTTGACAAGAAAATAAGCATTAAAACGGAAAAAATAAAAAGATTTTATCGTTATTATAAAATTTTTCTTTTATTTTATATTAAATTAAAAAAATGATTGTATAAAATAATGATGCTCGTGGAATAATGATCGCTTTTTTTTTAATCAAAACAAACATTTTTATTACGTATCTATAAATCAAGCAAGCACAAAAAAAATTAAATATCTGGGAAATGTTTAAACAGAAGATGGAAAATATTACACTGAAATCCAAAGATGCCTTTCAAAAACTAAGCAAAGTATTAAGAAATAGAAAAGCTTCGTTAGAAACAAGGAAAAGAATACTGAACTGTTACGTGATGTCTCTATCCTCCTGTATGGCAATGTATTCTGGAAGATTTCTTCAAAGATGAAGAAGAGACTTGAAGCAACAGAAATGTGATTTCACAGAAAGATGGTGAGAATACCATAGACCGAACATGTGAGCAAAGACGAGGTTCTAGAGAAAATGGAAACAAAAGGAAACTAATACATAACATCAGGAAGAAACAGGTGAAATGTCTTGGGCACATAATGAGGAAGGAGGGATTGGAGAATCTGTTACTCACAGGACGGATTGAAAGCAAGAAAGACAGAGGTAAACAACGGATAACATGCTTGACGAGCGTGAGAAAATAGATAGCGGAACCTGGTTTAGAAATAATGAAAAGACAGAATTTATTTAGAACTGCGAGGGACAGGAAGATGTTGAGAGTCATGATCGCCTGCGTCCCGAGGGGACGCGACACATAAAGAGAGAGGCATAGAAATATTTTATTCCTCCAAATATTTATAATTTTGTTTCTTTTACTTTTCTGCTTCCCTCGTTAACATTTCAACACTTTATTGCCAAAAATAATTTCTCTAAATTGTATGCATGTATAGTAAAAATTAACTTAATACTAGACTCCTGCTAATCAGATCGTCGTAGTATAAGTTAAGCTAACTTTGAACTTTAAATGTAACTGGAGATTGGTTGATTACAAAGTATTTTCCCTATTATTTATTTACTTTTGCAATTTCTATAAGTAGGAAACTACTTGATATCAAGCTTAATAGCCGCCTTTGGCAACTTTTAATGAAATTCAAAGCAAAAGCGAAAATTTTAATAATCCATTTGTTGCTTAAACATATTTTAAACGATTTTCTCACGTAAATGACTATATAAAAATATAGAATATGAAGCCTTTTTACACAATGTCAAATTTTGATGCAAATCAATGTTTTAACAAAATAATTCATATATAAAATTTTAAGGTTATAGTTTCACCGTTAACGAGGAAAATGTGGAAGTGACAAAACGACAAATGGGGATAAGACGTGTTTGAGATAAGTGAAAGGGTTTTTATTTTCCGTGATTTACAAGATTCGAACGTTTACTCGTTCCAGGATATTGTATATCAGTCATAGGAGACTGAGAGTCAGTTCAGGGTATAACACAAGGTAGTAGTTGAGATAGGCACGTGGAGAAAATCAACACGCATACGAAGTCGAGTGTGATACACTCGTGGAAGTCGAGTGTGATAGACTCGAATTATCGCATTGTAGTAGTTGAGAGTTTCTGCTGCTGTCGATTTCGTTGCTGGCCGAATGCATCGCTGTTAATGGCAGTGCTTTGGTGTCGCTGCTGATGGCTTGATTAAGCTTGCCTGCCATGGGGTCGGATCTGCCTTAGTTGATGGAAACACGTGTACCTTTTTCTTAATGGTCTGAAAAAGATGGTCTATGATCCCATTATTTTTGGACGGTATTCCAGAAGTGGATACGCGCAGGCGGATGAAATTAAAATTTGTGTTCGTCATATGAGCTTCAGATGCGAACACTTCCGTTTGAGTTAAAGAACTGGAATTGCCACAACATACGACAAAATACTTAAAATATCTTCTTTTTTGTGTGTTGATAGTGTTGGTCATCACATTGTGTGTATATATATATATATATATATATATATATATATATATAGTGTGAGAGGGTGCGATGGATAAATTGTCGTCTAAATGACTGAAAAATGAAAATAACATTGACATCTCATTTTAACAGATATATTTACCAAAATTACACAAAAAAGAGTAAATTTATTCAATAAAATCGCCATTGGTTTCAACCACGGCCTCCAGGCAACTTCGGAGTTTTTTGCATTTCTTCTGTACGGTTTCCTTCTTTAAGTTGATGAATGCTGCCATAATCCTTGCCTTCAGTTCCTCTTTGGTGTTACAAGGAATTTTGTTGTTTTCTCGCTCAACTGTGCCGCACACATAATAATCAAGGGAGTTGCTGTCCGGGGAGTTAGGTGGCCAGATGTAAGGGGTGATGCGGTCGCAGAAATTGTCTGACAGCCATGCCTGGGTTCTCCTGATTGTGTGACATGATGCCGTGTCCTGATGCCAGATATAGGGTCTTCCAGCATCCACCCTCTTGACTCAGAGCAGCACTACCTCCTCAAGGCACATGATATAGGCCTTTCTGTTGAGTCTGAGGCCGTCGCCAAAAAATTCGGGAGTTATTTTCTTATCAGAACGATCAAAGTGATTTTTCCAAGCTGCCATACCTACATAATCACCATTAAACTCGTCCAACTCTTTCCGAATCCTCTGCGCTGTCCTCAAAATGACACCCAAGCACTCTGAAATGTTTGTGTTGAAGCTTCCGGTGCGAATGCCAAGCAGTACAAAATGCCGTTTCCAAATTTCTGGCAGAGTGAATTGTGTCATGGTGCTTTTTTTTTCCTCAAAGACGGTATCCAACTAACCTTACTATACTGTGCAGTCGACAAAATCAAAAAATAAACAACGCGCATGCGTGATTTTAAAATATGAAATGGCGACAATTTACCCATCGCGTCCTTTTATTTTAACACAGATATATATATATATATATATATATATATATATATATATATATATATATATATAATATTTTAAATACGACAAAGATGCATTTTTGTTTCGATGCGCCGGCATCTCTACTGAGGGGAACCTGTTTTTTTTTCTTTTTTTTTTCGAGATACTGGAGCATCGAAACAAAAATTCATGTTTGTCGTGAGTAATTTCATTGTAAGAATTTTTTTAGATAATAATTGCTTTAGCGATAGAAGTCTTACTAATTAACTCATAGATGGGGGAGAAGAGGTGAATTCATACCTTTACCAAGTGTATTTGTGCTTATATGTGTATGACGAACCGAACGGAAATTAGAACTCTGCTCTCCAATTAACAATTCCGAGCCATTATCTATTACACCACCCACACATCCAAGTATACAGCATCTGGTATTCACAAGCGGCCACCCATCTAGGCATTAAGCAGGTTCGTCTTTTATGTTTTTGAACAATATATATATATATATATATATATATATATATATATATATATATATATATATTATTCATTTTAAAAAAAATTACATTGAATTTTTTATTCAATAAAAATCTTTCAAGAACGACTAGCTTTTTTATTTTCCAAAAATTTATCTTCAAAATTATAGTGCGTTTTATACACTGGTGTGTCTTATATTAGGAAAATGCGATAAGCTATAAATGGGGGTCATAAAAAAGAAAATATAATGAACCTTCCTTTGTGCTTTGTAGGTTTTTAGAATTGATCCTTTGAAGTTCTGGTACGGACAAAGAATTGTTTATTGGCCTTTATTTGAATCAAATCTAGCATCCCAAAATGTTCTAAGATTCTTAAGGTTGCGTGGCAGAATTCTGTGAGTTTTTTGTTTTCGTTTTTTCTAACCTTTGACCAGTATTTTTCTAGCGTAATACAATAAGGCTAACACTCGAATGAAAGCGATGTCCTAGTTTTTCGAAAATGACCTGCGCTTATCAAATGAACACTAAGTGGAGGTGCGGGTCGGGTAATGAGTTCGATAGATTATTTCTCAGTGCTTATTCAGAGTCATCTAATTTTCCTAGTTTAGTGAGTGCGAACTGTTCTTCGTATAATGAGAAATTTGTCGGAAGGCTCGAAATTTGCATTTAGAATATGACAGATCACGAGGAATATACGGATTTTTCCGGGGGAAAAATAATTTAAAATATAGCAACACAGGAAAAATTTTAAATTGCTGTCTGATTATTTTTTTAGGGTTGTACAACGTTTAGCAAACAAATATCAATTTTTTAGTTGTTCAAATTCTTTTATTTGTCGGGAAAAAGTCTAATTTAAGTCAATATTAACCACTAATGATCGCCAATTTGTAGGTCAGTACCATCATTCTGCCAAATTTACTCGCACACATTTTACCCCCCTGAATGTAAGTGTTTGTAAAACAGATCGGCTTACGGCCATATCACGTTCAAACACCGGTTCCCGTACGATCACCGAAAGTTAAGCAACGTCGAGGCTTGTCAATACCTTGATGTGTTATCGCTTGGGAATATCCGGTGCTGTGAGCTTGGATGTGCGGGTGGTGTAATGGATAATGGCCCGGAATTGTTAATAGGAGAGTCGAGTTCCCGTACGATCACCGAAGTTAAGCAACGTCGAGCCTGGTCAGTACCTAAATGGGCAACCGTTTGGGAATAGTTGGTGCTATGAGCTTGGATGTGCGGGTGGTGCAATGGATAATGGCTCGGAATTGTTAATCGCAGAGCCGAGTTCTAATTCCGGTTGCTTTCGCTACATTCACTTACCCGTAGATACTATTGTGAAAGGTATGAACCTACATCTTCTCATCCCCAGCTATGGGTTAATTAGTAAGATTCGTATCGGTAAAACATTATTGTCTCCAAAAGTAATTCTTACAACCTAAAAAATATTTTCTGGCTTTAAATAACCTACAAAGAGTTAATAAGCCGTAGAAAAAGAATTAATCAATCAAGCAAAGAATGCAAATCAAAGTAGTTTATTATTATTATAATTATTATTTCACCCCAGGTAAGGCAATAAAGCCACTAAGACGCAAGTGGGTGGGTAACCGAGTATGAGAAAGTATGAGAAAAGAAAACGTTATTAAGGACAGAGAACAATAAAAGAACAGAAGATAATGATTGACATTGCATTTAAATTTATGCAGATCAAAGTTGACTGGAAAGGAAGAAGCTGGAAGAGAATTCACAAGCGAGAAATGCGAGAGAAGAAACTGTTTGCGTAGAACTTACGGTTACATCTAGTCATTTCAATTATAAAATGATGAGACCTTGCCGCCAATCTAGTACTGCGCTTAAATTCATAAAGTCTACGTACTCAAAAGGAAAGCACGTCAGAACAATTACCATAAAAATATTTATAGAAAAGGCAGAGGGAAGCCACATTATACCGATGGGAAGATGACTGAAGCCGATATGCCAGGTCAGGACCAATAACGTTACTGATTTTTCTTTTAATTTTATCGTGAATCTCTAAACACATAACAGAAACACCAGACCAGACAGCAATATTCAATGCATGGGCGATATAATAATAATAATTATAATAGTTATAAACCAATTCTGCTTCCAATGACATTCGAGGACCCTGGTTCTATGATTTGATCTACAATTTGTGGATGCTCGTATTTGAAATAGACACCCCATTTTTATTTTTGTTTTAAACAGTGTGTATTACATCTACCGGCCTGTGCATTCAAGAAATCTTAATAATGAAAATGTGCTGTCCAACAGGCATGTCCACTTTTGCAAATAAATAATTTTTTAACACCAGAATGAATAAATAAAAAAAGAATGCTTCCCGAGAGAAAAATTAATCGGAGATTTGTTGACTTCTTGGACGATCCACAAATATGAAAATTGTAGTTGGTTACTGAAAATATCTCCCAGTTGGAAAGACAAACCAAGGTGGGTGGTAAAACCTGGAAAGTGGATGCAGACTACAGTTGGTGTTGTTTGGTTTGTTTTGTTTTACGGCACATCAACCTCAATGGGTCATATAATGCCGACTTTTTTATCCTGGCAATATTTTGTTTTGTCTAAAATGTATTTCTGTTAATATTTTCTTCCTCAAAAAAACCCTGGTAATATTATTTTTTTTTGTGGTGTATAGCTGGTAATATTATTTTTTTTTTTTTCAAAACGTACAGCTGGCAACATTATTTTTTTAAAAACGTATTATCAGAGGCCTTGCTGTTGGACGTAGTTTATCGTCTTACCCATGACGCGGATGTAGTTTATCGTCATACCCAGGACGCACTACAGTTGAGAAGGGGTACTCTAGAAATTTAGAAAGATATGATTCCAACCCTTCCACTGCTAAATCACGTTGCCAGCCTTTTTATATATTTTCCCAGCAGGTTATGCTTATCTACGTCTCTGTAATCCAATTCACGTTCTTACAGCAGTCTTAAGTCAGAATGAAAGAGGACTTCATATTAGAGAAAGCAAGTTTGACAGTGAATTTTGAATTTTTCGAAATATACAGAATATGAAGTATTTATTCAAAGAATAAATGACAGAATATAGCCAAGTTCTTCTTCATTCCACAAACAATTTCCTTGGGAGGTTGTAGCGATTATTACATAGTGCAACGAGATTAGTGTTACGGCTTTACAAGTTTTGGTTTGGTTTGGTTTGTTTTACGGCTTATCAGCCTCAATGCGTTATTTAATGCTGACAAGATTTTTATTGCTGGTAATATTTTTTATCTATCTATCTATCTGTATGTGTGTGTGTGTGTGTGTGTGTGTGTTCATTATCTATCCATATCTGTCCATTATTTTTCTATCTCAGTATATATTGGTTTGGCTTGGTTTGTTTTACGGCATATCAACCTCAATGCGTTATTTAATGCCGACAAGATTTTTATTGCTGGTAATATTTTTTTTATCTATCTATCTATCTATCTATCTATCTATCTATCTATCTATCTATCTATCTATCTCAGTATATATAGGTTTGATTTTTGTTTTTCTTTTACGGCATATCAACCTCAATGGATTATTTAATGCCGACAAATGTAATGGTAATGTTTTTCTTCAAAAATCTATTTCTGGGAATATTTTTCCTTAAAGAAATTTATAGCTGGTCATATTTTTTTTCGAAAGACTGTATAGCTGTTTGTATTGCTGGTATGTTTTTTTAAAGTATTACTGATAATTTTTCCTTCAAAAATTATTGCTGCTAATAATTTTTTTATTACAAAAGTATTTCTGGCATTAAAACCTATTTTTACACAACTTTGAGCGTTAACTATTTGCCCATAGCTAGAACCCTAACAGGTGCTACCACTCCGGGTCAGGGTGGACCTGGGAACACCAACAATTAATAGGTGGTTCCACGCTCCTCAAAACCTCCTGATCAAAGGCCTAGCTGCTGGACGTAGTTTATCGTCATACCCAGGAGGCGGATGCAGTTTATCCTCATAATCAGGACGGTTTACAAGTTATATTTTGGTTAATGGTAATAGATTAAACTAAATAGAAAATCTTTTTTTTTTAATTTCACATCAAGCAAGACAATAAAGCCACTAAGATGCAAGAAAGAATAAACGAAAAAGTAGTAGAAAAAGAAAAGAACCGGAATTAAGAAGACAAAAGATAACGATTGACGTTGCATTCAAATTTTTGAAACTCAGTGGTGACTAGAAAGAAAGAAGCCAGAAGAGATTTCTACAACAGAGAAGTGCCGGAGAAGAAACTGTTAGCATAGAACTTACAGCTATATTTAGCCATTTCATTTCTAAAATGATGAGACCTAGCTGCCAATCTAGTACTGTGTTTAAATTTGTAAAATCGAGGTACTAAAGAGGAAAGCGATATTTATTCTGTTTAATACAGAAATGTGGCACAAGGCCGAAAAGGGGATTGGGGAAAGGACGGTCTTCTTCTGTCTTAACTATAACTTAGCTAGCCGCAAACACTGACCCAATCTTACTAAAGAGGAAAGCTCATCAGAACAATTACTATGAAAATATTTATAGAAGAGTCACAGGGACTCTACATTATGGCGGTAGGAAAGCGACTGAAGCCGAGATACCAGGTCAGGACCGATAACGTTGTAGATATTTATTTGTATTATATCAAGAATCTCTAGATATATAGCAGAAGTACCAGATCATATGTGACAGCAATATACATTGCATGGAAGAATGGGTATGTGTAAGATTAAGCCTTTAGACGAAAGGAGCTTCTGGGAGTGAAGGAGAATGAGAAAACTTTAGGAGAAACCAGAAGCCCAGTCCTAAACAGGAAACAAAGGTTAGTTTCTATTCCTGTTCAAAATACTGTGGAGGAGTGTGAACTGGAAGATAAGCGAACCTATCTATTCTTATTAAGGAAAACAATTAACAAATAAATTGTAAATAAAGTTTTAGAGTTTAGGCGGAGATGTCAGAAGTATAGAGTTGAAGTAGACTTTAGAAGGAACTGGAAAACCAATCCTAAACAGGAAACAAGATATAAGCTACTCTTCCTGTTCTAAAGACCGTAGAGGAGTGTGAACCGGACGATAGGAGAACCTATCTACTCCTATTGTTTACAGATACGATACTCCATGCTACTTCCACGAAATCGAATCATCCCCTCCTATATTCCAAATCTAAGAAGAAAGTTGCAGTCAGACAGCTGTTTCCCAAGAACTCCCACATGCAATCTTAACCTCTTCTAGTCAAGAATCAATCGTTATCTCTCTTCCTTATCCTCAAAACTTTCACTTCCTACCATTTTTTTCATTCATATAACACGCCTCGTTTATTTCAACAGCAACCCAATGCCTTGCGTGGCTGTCAAGCCTTGTATTAGGTGAATAAAAATGTCTTATACCAGGAGTTCTCAACCGGGGTCCATATGGACTCTGGGGTGGGGGTCTATGTAACATTACCGGGGTCTACACAAAAAAACGCAAATTGGGGTTTAATTACTCACATATTTTAAAATGGTTCTTTATGAGTTATTTTACTAGTGGGCATAAATGTTCCATAGAATTTAGTTGTTAAATAAAAGTTTATTTTCATGAAATTAGTTTTACTTCAAAATAAAGCATATGCATTTACCATTTCTATGATAAAATTTCTAAACTCATCTATAAGTAAAAAATAAAATAAGATTTTTTTCATCGAATGGTTATGAGGGTCCACAATAATAATTAAGAATAAAAGTGGTCCATGGGTTAAAAATAGATGGAAAAAGGCTGTCTTTGATGAACAAATAACTTCTTTTTCACTCTTTGATTCGTTTATTTCGACATTCTATGACGCTATGCACAACCTTTGTTTATAGAGACATTAGGAGATCTGTTTTTCTCTCGTGAAATTCAATGGCGCTCGACTGACGTTCAGTATTTTTTTTTAATCATTTTACCCCAAAATAGTCAAGAAAGCCACTAACACGCAGGGTGGTTACTAAGTGCGAAAGATTTTAAGAAAAAAATTATTGCGGTGCAAGAATAATATAAGAATAGAAACTAAAAAGACAAGACAATAATTGACATTGCATTTAAATTTTTTAAGATTAAAGTCGGTTGGAAAGCATGGTGCCGGAAGGGAGTTCCTCAAGTGAGAGATGAGAGAAAAGAATCTGTTAGCATATTCCCTTAGAACCCGTATAAACGGGTTCAGGGTCTATCTACCTCCTCGGACGAAACTTTACCCTGGGTTCCTCTCT